CTTTACCCTCACTCCCACCAGAAAATTGATCTTACTTTTCCTCCCATTTGTAATCAAAGCCAGCCCCTCTAAGCAAACAAGAATCCTCAAATGCTTTGGGTCCTACGTTGAGCTGGCCTGGAAACACACAGAATGGAGCTATCCCAGTTATGTCCAGCATATGTATTCTTGGAGAGGATGTAAGGAAAACAGACAACTGGAGGGATGAACTCAGCATTATGAGAAAGATGGAAAGCAAAAGCTTATTAAAGCCAGAAATGAGTTACTGGTAAAAGCCTTGCAGTTTGGACACAGCCAGCTCAAAGCTGCTGGCAGTAAGTGCAGGAACGGAGTGTCCTAGGCTTAGATCTTGTAAGGAAAGTGTATCCAGCTCACGTGCCCAGTGCTGCTATGGTCCAAGTGTTTTGAAGGGTGAAATGTTCTGGTTTGATTCTTCTTGTTACCCCACAGCTACATGCTTCCACATCCGTGGTTTAGCAGGAAACTGACCTCTAAACAGGATCACTTTTCACAGCATTAATGAACTGAGCTCAGCCAGGTACTTCCCTTGAGCTGCTTTAAAGGCAACAAGCACTGGCTGCCTCCCTTGACACAGCCCAAGCACCGTCACCCTGACAGAATGAGGCCCCAACAAGACATCAAGGGAACTGCTCACCTTGAGTTTGCTGAACGTGCCAACTGTGTGGTCCCAGGCTGGCACCAAGTGATGTAGGACACTGTCCAGGAGCTTGATGAACCTAAATCCCAAAAAAGGTATTGCAATGCAGGAGGAACAGGGATCTGCACAAGTCTATTTCAGACAAAGCACCCCCTGGACACAAGCAGAAAAATAATAACTCATCCAAACCAAACCCAGTGTGGTTTTTCACATCACACAGCCTTTGGTACTAAATTCCCACTCCCTGGGCACTGCAGTGAATCTTGCACTCCCTTACAAGGGACTCTCCATATACATGCCCCCACACTGCACAGATATGCTGTGCTTGCAACACACAAGACACTGAACTTGAGCTGCAAAACTCCTCTGAAAGCTTAGGGGAGCTACCCCAGAGAGCCCCCTTTGCTCCCAAATGATTCTGCCATTTTCTCCAGCATCCAGAATGTCTGTCCCAAAGGAAGTCACACAACTTTACAGCACCCAGCCCTACACATGCTGGAGATGGCAGCAACCCCTGCAGGCAGTGCCACCCCACCTGTCTGCTCCCCTCCACACAGTACCTTTGAATAAGCACGGCCCGCCGGTACAGCAGGTCAGGGTCAGTCCCTTCTAGGCGAGGGTAGCGCACCAAATTGGGCAGCTGGAACATGTCAGCACTGAGCCCCAAGTCCCTCTGTCGGGAGGATTTGATTTTGATGCCTCGGATACGAACGTCAATCCCATCATCTGCCAAGGAAGACCATGGATGATATGACCAAGAGGAAATAAGCCTTCCAGCAAGGAAGGTCTACAGGCAAAAGCATTAGGAATGTGACCAGCTCCACCAGCTCTGGGGCTGGGCACTGAAAGCCTGAAATACCTCTGTAAAGAGGGGCATTTACAGGAGAAAAAAATTAAATAACTGAAGGCACAGAAAGATAGAATGAAAGCCGAGAATTTCCAAAATATCAGATCTCCCTGGAGTTTCCCTTGGTTCTTTTGCATCTCATCAGAAAAAGCCCGCAGGGACAAGAAGTACAAATCACAGAACAAACTCTTAACATACAGTATCATACAGGTGCATTATGGATGTGGCCACTGCAGCCAGCCCTACCTCGGCACTCCACAATCCGGATCTCGATGACAGGCAGGTGTGTTGTCATGTCCTCAAGGATGCACACATCCCCAATGTAGCTGCTGCAAACACAGCACAGATGAAGGCTGAAAGACTGTTCTCTCACCCATCCTGCCAGAATCCACTTGGATGCTTGTAAGGGAAGAGGGTTTCCATCTTTTGAAATGGGAGCCTGTGGCAGGCACCCAGACCCAGTTGCCTGCAATACAGTTGAACGCCTGAACCTGCTGGTGACACAGGTCCAGGTGACATAATTCTGATGAGTCCCACAATCAGACCGGGAGAGCACTGATGGCTGTGCTGTCTGCTATTGTAGGCAGAGTGAACCCACAGCTCAGAGAGCCTGGCTGGGGCCATATGACTGCTTAGGGTTGGAGTGTTCAGCACCTCCAGCCCCTGCAAGGGCCACGCTAACCTGTGTACCTCCATCCACTCACTCCTCAATGCAGACGTCGTTCAGTTTCTTCAGATTGTCCCCCTCGCCCCCGTACACAGCGACCCTCTGGGGTGTGAAGTTCTCATCGTTGGAATCCACTGTCAGCAGCAGCTTCCTGCAAAGGGAAGCAGGACATGAGGAGAAGGCAAACGCATCCGAACACCCATCACTGCTCCCCTTCATTGCCTGGTCACACTGTTACCAAGCACATGCAGCTGGTGCTCTGATCCCCAGATAGCTGTGACAATGCCAAGACCCCTTCAAACCCAGAGGCAGAGTAAAGGCTGAGGGGCTGGGAGTGCAGGGCATATTTGGGCCATGACAGACTCAGGCAGAGAGAGGGAGTCACAGAACTTGTCCCAGTCACAAGCCAGTGTGCAGAGCAGAGATGACTCACTTGACAATGGTGCCTTTCTTCATGTTGAGCCGCACCCAGTGCTGGCCCTGGGACCCATCACTCTCCCAGTACGTGTCAGCGCGGCTGTCGGTCAGACATGACACATTGAAGTCCTCCTGGAAGAGGGCAATGAATGAAAGGAAGATCAGATGGGCGTGGGATTAACTTCCCATTAGTGGTTACTTTTGTCATGAATCTCAGTGCCAGGGGGCATCACACTGGCCCGTTCCCTTTGCCTGGCTGTGGGTAGACAAGGGGAGTACAGAGCGCACAGGACACTGGGACTGGCCCTCCAGGGTGCTCTGAGGTCACACACACAGCACAAAATAACAACCCCTCCCTAAAATCAGCTTAGCAACTAATATTAGCACTGGCTTCTCAAACCACTGTCCCTCCAGGGGCACATTACACAACATGCTGCATGATGCTCTCCAGGCTTCTCTGCCACATTCTCAAACATAGCCCAGTCCAGTCCAGAGCAGCACAGCAAGCTCCATGCTCCACAGCCCCATGGCACAGCTGGGCCAATGCAGCCTTGTCCCTTTAACCCACCGTGTAGGACGAGACATCGATGCTGTCCACGTACTGCTTAACGCTGCCCAAGTTCTCATCTTCCTTCCCAATGTGGTCATATAGGAAATGCACTAGGTCTTCATCACATTCGTAAGTCCACGTTGGGGGCACAAACCTACCAAGGAAAAGGGATTACTGGGTCTGGAGAGCCAGAGGAAGCCAGGCTTATGGGTCAAAAAAGGGAGGTCTGCATCCTGCTTGCCTTGTATTGCCCTGTTTCCTGCCTTTTGCAGGCTTATCTAGAACAAGACTGTGATGCACAGAGCTGTTCCCCGCTGCCTATCTCCCTCCCTTTCACCCCCATCTGCAGGAGACAGCTGTCTGAGCAGCCAGGGAGAGACAGCAGCTTGTCCCCCAACAAGCAGAAGTCGAAAAACGGTTCATACCGAAGCTTCTCTACTGCAGCCTCATCCTGCTCCATGGGCCTGGGCTTTGCTCCGAGGCGCAGGGAGTATGTCAGATCCACCACCTGCTCCCATCTGAAACAACACAGAGAAGTGGAGGGAGTGAGAAAATCCCAAGAGGAACAAGGAGTAGCTTTATGGGGAAGATTTGGGTTTAAAGCCCCACCATACTCCATCACCTCCAGCCTCAACTGTCACCCTTTCCTTTCCATCCATGTCTACTCCTTCCACACCCCGCTGGGCAGGTGACAAGGACAGTGCCCAAGTCCAACCCAGTTCACCCCACGTCCGGCATCCCTCTTGCCTCATTTCCATGGAACATGTCCAAACGGGCTGGGTTTCTCCAGCCCAGGGCAGGAAGGGCCGCGGGGCAGACTCCCGAGCCACCAGACAGCTGGTCCCGGGTGAGCACCTCCCCGCTCCCGGGGACGCAGCGGGGCATCGCGGCGGCCCCGCACCTGATGACGGGTTTGTAGTCAACCCCGAAGAGCTGCTGCTGCCGCTGGATCCGCTCCGTGGACTCCACGGGCACCAGCCGGTCCCCGCCGTCGGCGTGTTTGCACACTAGCACCCAGCCCTCCTCTAGATCGCAGCCGCTCCGGTACTCCTCCAGCTGCTCCTGCGGGGACAGCGGGCGGTCAGGCGGGGCCGGGCCGGGCCCTCCGCGGGCCGCCGCCCCCGCGTTACCTTGCTGAGCTTGACCCAGAGCCCGGCTCCGTTGCAGTACTCCTCGCCGGTGGCGCGGAGGCAGCCGCCCTTCCGCACCTCGATGGTGGCCCGCGCCGCCCGCTTCCCGCCCCGCGCCGGCCCCGGGCTGTCCCACACGCTCAGGAGGCTGCGGGCGGCGGCGGCGGCGGCGGCCGCGGGGTCTTTGCAGATCTTGTACTGCACCTCCTTGGGCACGTAGCAGAGCGCGGCGGGCAGCGCCCGGGCGCAGCGGAAGCACTCGCTGCACTGCAGCAGGAACCGCAGCCGGCCCAGCACCTGGTGCGGCGCCTCCCCGCCCGCCCGCATCGCGCACCGGGCACCGGCCGAGCCCCTCTCCGGTTTACGGCGGACCCCGCCCGCCGACAGGCAAGATGGCGGCGCCCGTGCCACGTACGGAGGAGTGAGAAGCAGGGCAAGATGGCGGCGCACGGCGGGGCGGTGTACGGAGGGGGGCGGGGCAAGATGGCGGCGGACGGAGAGGCGGGACTACGGCAAGATGGCGGCGCCGGCGGGGCGGGCCGGGGGCGGGACCGGGCGAACCGTGCCCCGTCGGGAGGCAACGGGGAGGCTGAGGAGCGGCACAGGAGATGGAGGGTGGCGAGCGGCTGCTGTGAGTAACCGGGGCCGAGCAGGCCTGCGTCTCCTCCCGGTGTGGTGACGGGAGACACGCACCGGGGTCTTCATGGGGGACGCTGGTGTGTCTCTGGGAACGGCGATCTGGCCCTGGGGATGGTGCTTTGGCGCTGGGATCCTGCACTGGGGACACTCGTGTGACTCTGGGAATGGCGATCTGGCACTGTAGGGGCCCTGGGGATGGTGCTTTGGTGGCGGGGTCCTGTACTGGGGCCACTGGAGGGGCACTGCGGTGGCCCTGGGGTTGTGGTGCTGGCACCAGGGTCCGGCACTGAGGTCACTGGTGAGGCACTGTGGGGGTTGATTCTGCACTGGGGAGGCACTGCGAGTACTGGTTCTGCACTAGGAGGGATCAGCAGGGGTACTGCTGTGGTAATGAAGTTACTGGTCCCACGGTGGAGTTTTTGGGGACTTTGTCCCCATGGCCCCGCGGTTCTCGGGGTTCCCCTCCCCGGGGCCGGTCGGGCTCCAGCAGCCCCTCGGTGGTGACACCGCGGCGGGGGGGCTGGGGACGCGTGGCCCGGCACAGATAGGGGCCGGGGCCGCCGGTGGCAGGACTGCCCGCCCCCGCACCCTGCTCGTCCCAAACCTCTCCAGGCGGGAGCAACTGGTGGCCCCGATAACTTAATCTCACGGGCCCTGCGCCGGGCATCGCCTCTCCTTGGGGAGGGCCCCGCAGCCCCCAGCAGGAAGAGGCCCTGGACTGTGGTGGGGAGAATTTATCACGTTTGTCACAGCTGGGCCTTTCCTGCGGCTGGGGAGCGGGGACGAGCCGCTGGCCATGGCATCCCCTGCCCCAAACCCCTCGTGGGTGACAGCCTGTACCTGCTCTTTCTCCCGTAGTCCCAAGGGCTTCCCCAAGCTGAAGAACGACACGTTCCTTCGCGCGGCGCGCGGGGAGGAGACGGAGCACACCCCGGTGTGGTGCATGCGGCAGGCGGGGCGGTACCTGCCAGGTGAGCCGGTGGAGGCATGTCGGGGGCAGCGAGGGGCCCTCAGCATGCACCCGGTAACCTTCGTGCTGGTCCCTTGCAGAGTTTCGGGAGACCCGAGCAGCGCAGGATTTCTTTGCCACTTGTCGGAGCCCCAAATTGTGCTGTGAGCTGACGCTGCAGGTGAGCATTCCTCAGCGGGGCCTGTGTGTCTCCCTCTCCCTGACCAGACGTGGATGGGGAGAAGCCTTGTGTCTGGCTTGCCCAAGTGGTGCCAGTAAATTGTTCAGCGCTTGGAGACCCCACTGCCTTATGTGCTTGTCCGGGTCCTCCATGGGGAGGGGTCCCAGCTCCTCACTGACGCTGCCACTTCTCCTCTGCAGCCACTTAGACGATTCCCCTTGGATGCTGCCATCATCTTCTCTGACATCTTGGTGGTGCCCCAGGTGAGAGCCATGGCCAATGCCATGGGGAGCAGCTGCTGGGAACGGGGCAGAGTTCAGGGATGCCTCATTCCTGCTTCCTCCATTCTTCCTTGTCCCCAGGCGCTGGGCATGGAGGTTGTCATGGTCCCCGGCAAGGGACCCACTTTCACAGAGCCCCTGAAAGAGGTGGAGGATCTGATGAAACTGCGACAGAAGGTGGACGTGACCGCAGAGCTAGGTTATGTCTTCCAGGCCATCACGCTGACACGACACAGCCTGGAGGGCAGGGTGCCCCTCATCGGCTTCTCAGGGGCACCGGTAAGTGATGTGGCTCCTCCGTGTGGGTTTCCTTGCTGGGTTCCTTTGCCCTCCTGGGGTAACACCAGCCATGACACCTCCAGATGTGACTGCTACAGGGCTGTCTAAGTGGGGGACATTCAATGCAGGAGCAGCTGTGCTCACAGGTCCTACCTTCAGCACTGTGACCAGTGCCTCGTCTTCTTTCATCTCCATCACTCTCCTCACTTCTCTCCTGCCCGCAGTGGACACTCATGTCCTACATGATTGAAGGTGGCGGCTCCTCTACAATGGCCAAGGCCAAGAGCTGGCTCTACCAGCACCCCGAGGCGAGCCACCAGCTGCTGCGGCTGCTGGCCAACGTCATCACTGACTACCTGGTGGGGCAGGTGGCTGCTGGAGCGCAGGTGTGTTCTGGGGTATGGGGACAGGGCCGGGCAGGAAGGCAGAGACTGGGGACAGGGAGCAGGGAGGGTTTAGCTTGTGGGAGGAGGAGGAGGGACTGTGGTGTTGCTCTCCCAGCCCAATGGGAATGTAGTTGAGCTGCCATCCTGAAGGTATTTGAAAGATGTAGTTGTGGCACCTGGGGATATGTGGTGGGTTTGGCAGTGCTGGGTTAACTACTGGACTTGGATGATTTTAAAGGTCTTTTCTGACCTAAATGACTCCATGTCCCTGGCAGGCGCTCCAACTGTTTGAGTCCCATGCAGGGCACCTGGGCCCAGAGCAGTTTCAGGACTTTGCCCTGCCGTACATCCGAGACATCGCCCAGGCTGTCAAGAGCAAGCTGAAGGAGGAGGCGCTGCCCCTGGTGCCCATGGTGAGTCAGGGCTGCCTGGGTTGACCCTGGCACTTGGGGGCTGCTGGAGAGGGGTGCATCCCCTGGTACCTGCTTGCCCCAGTTTGGCCCGTGGAGAGGGGCCTGACCCATAGCAGAGCTACTGCCCATCTCCTCCCTCCCCAGATCATCTTTGCGAAGGACGCGCACTACGCGCTGCGTGACCTGGCCCATGCTGGGTACGAGGTGGTCGGTCTCGACTGGACCATCCGGCCCCAGGAAGCTCGGTAAGAGTCTGACAGAGCATTCAGGTGCTCTTCTGCCCTGAGCCATCCCAGGCCTGGACATGGCTGCTCCAGAGGTGGGAGTAGTTGGGCCACCATGCTACAGCAACCAAGGGCTGCACTGAGGGGTCCTGGGTGTCCTGTGGTGGGGGCCGCAGGCACCTGGCTGCCCTCAGCCTCTGTACCACATGCAACAACTCACAAGCTTCCTCCCTGCTGCAGTGCACAGACAGGGAAAGATGTCACCCTGCAAGGGAACCTGGATCCTTGTGCTCTCTATGCACCCAAGGTGAGCCATGGCCATTTTCAGCAACCGGGGCTAGTTCCAGCCTGTATTAAAGGCCTCCTGCCTCAATTTCCCCACCTGCAGTGCTGGCTTGTGTCCCAGAAGTCCCTTAGGTTGGCTGGGAACTGGAAGGTGGGAAATATCTTGGGATGGATGGGACTGACATATCGTTTCCCACCGTGCCTACAGGAGAAGATTGGCGAGCTGGTGAAGAAGATGCTGGAGGCTTTTGGGACCCAACGCTACATCGCCAACCTGGGCCACGGCCTCTACCCTGACATGAACCCTGAACACGTGGGTGCTTTTGTGGAGGCCGTGCATGCTCATTCCCGTCACATCAACAAGCACAGCTGAGCCTAGGGCCTTGGGGATAGAACTCTGGTTTGGGCACAGTCAGCCCAAGCAGTGTGTTGTCACAGGGCTTGCTCCAGGCTGGGCTGCAGCATTAAACCAGCACCTTTTCCGCAGCAGCCGTGTGGCTCTGGCTGGGGGGACAGGGAACTGGATGGCCCTGAAGGACATGAGCCGTTCTGGCAGGCAGCTAGAGGGGCATGTGGGGACAGGGGGAGCCCCTGAGCCCCATCCTGTTGGTCAGAATGGGGAAACAGGGGTGCCAGCACAGTGGGGGAGCTGCCTCTCCTTGCCAGGCTGCACAGTGTCTGTGCCTGCAGGAGAGGACGTGAGCCCAGAGCACAACAGGCATCTCCTGGCTCTATGGATGCACTCAGCTCTGCTAGGGGAGGTGGGCTGCCTGAGGCTGGCAGGGTCACAGCCTAGGAGCTGGGGGCTCACAGCATAAGCAGTGCCAGAGTCCTGCTCAGGTGGCAAAAGGCAACATGACATCAACCCAGGGCAGCCCTTGAGGGGGTGGGAGACACAGAAGTACTCACCTGGGGGCCAACCAGCACCACCCACCCCCTGCCACACTGGTTGGGATGGCAGCAGAGGCACCATGGCCCTCGTACCACTATCACCCTCCTCCAGCTCCGAGTCTCTTTGCAACCATCCCACCAGTCCTGGAGTTCTCCCCCATGCACACCTCCTTATCTCCCTCTGATTTTCAGAGGCAAGCTTCCCTGGGGCTCAGCAAACCCTGCAGAAAGCAACCCAGGAACTCTGCCACCCCATCCCACACTGCAGCACACTCACTGTGGTCCAGGCTGGCTACAGGATGGATCGAGACGTGGGTGTCAACACTGCCGTAGCTGGCACAGATAGGGTAGCGCCTTCAGCATGGGCAGGGACCTGCTAACACCGTGCATCTCCAGGGAACTGCAGCCAGGACGCCTTGCCCCTGCTCCGTCCCCCTACAGGAGCTGGGTACCACAGGGAGCGGCGAAACTGCCTCCTCCCCGGGGCTCTGCCCAGCAAGAGCGGTGACCCCCTGACTTCAGAGAAAGGCAGGAGAGAGACAGGGGGTAACGTTCATCCCTTTTATTATTAAACATCAGATGAAGAGGTCGCACACACACATACACGCACACACGCAAAAAAAAAAAAAAAGGGAAGGAAAAAAGAGAGAAACAGACTGGTTGAAGACCGCTATTTCGGTGGCGACAGAGACCGAGTACAATTGGTTTCCTGGCCGGAGTGCGGACACAAGTCACTTGCCAAAAAATTAAAAGTCAAACCAGACAGCAGATAACTAGCCCACGTTCTCTAACTACAAGTCACCATCCAGACCGGCCCTGGTCCCCCAGCCCTCCCAACCCGCTGGCAAAGAAATGAACCAAAACCGAAGAGCCACCGGCCCAGGGCTGGAGTCTGCCCTTGGTGCGGGGTAAGCCGGGAAGGGCCGAGCATTGGCTGCACCACGGAGCTGGAAAGCAGAACGGTGCGGGGAGGTGACGTGGCTGCACCTGCCTCCTCCCTCCCCAGGAGCCAGGCGGCCCTGGTGCCCACCCAGGCACCTCACACCCTGCACCCGCCAGGAGACCGCTGTGTGCGAGGCGATGGGCTCACGTCCTCCAGCGCCAGCTCCACGTGTGTCCGAGCGAGCATTGCCCCGAGTCCCTTCCTTCGCTGTCCTCCAGTGCTGGGCTGCTGCTCCTCCTTCCATCCGTCCGTCCGCCTGTCCCAGGGCTGTGAGTCGAGCAGATGTTCGCCTCCCCCCACACCCTTCTCGCTGCTGACAATGCCATGGGAACCTGAGAAACGTTCGCGTGCCTCCTCCTCTTTTTGTCTGTGGTTTTGTGTAGTTTTTTTTAAATAATAGTTATAATAATAATAACAATAATAATAATAATAGCAATAATAAAAATAATCGCCCCAGCCCACAACAATTTCAAGTATCCCCCAAATAAAAGACAGAATTATAAATAATTATAACTTTACAATTTAATAATTGACACATATACTATAGTATTTACAGTATCATAAATGCTTTTTTTTTTTTTTTTTGTGTTACTTTTAGTAAGCAATCCCTGAGAACAGTTACTTTTACTTGTTTTTATTGAAGTATCTTCACAAATAGAGGAGTTTGCATGTCTCGGGCGGGTGGGAGAAGCGCTCTGCAAAGCCATCGCTTTTGGTGACGCATGAGGTTCTAGTGTCGCAGGTTTCTTTGCTCGCTTTTTTTTTCTTTCTTTTTTTTTTTTTTTTTTTCCTTTTTTTTTTTTTTTTTTTGTTAAATTCCCCACGTAATTTTAAAGATTTTTACACTTTGCAACCTTCGTATCCCTCCAGCGACCGCGTCCTTCAGGAAAGAGGTATTAGATTTCCAGGTTAGCTTTTGGTATTGGCAAGGGAGGGCAGGGGGCTGAGTGAACCATCCTTTTTCCCTGTGGTTGCCTTTTGGTTTGTGCCCAAGGAATCTCTGGATCCTCTCAGTGTGTGAAATGGTTAAATCCAAGAAAGAATAACATTTAAAAAAAAAAAAAAAAAGAAAGAAAGAAAACAAAAAAAAGAAACAGAAGACCAGAACAGAGCAGCCTCTGCCGATGGGGGGAAGGTGATCTCCACTTTCCTTCCTTCTTCTCTCCCGAGTCCCCATGCTGCGGGCGGACCCTGCCAGTGAGCACGGCAGGAGCCGGGGCTCACCCAAACCGTTCCCGCACCAGCAGCATCAGTTTTTTCTTGCCTTTGTAGATTTGTTTGAGATTGTCAATGAACTGGGCGAACTGTATGTGCCCGTCCTGCGCCAGGAGGAAGGTCTCCCTGGCCTTGCTGAGGAACTCGATGAACTCCCCGTAGTGCCGCGGGCTGATGTGGGTGAGCCGGGAGTGGGTGGTGTTGATGTAGGCGCTTATCGTCGCGTCCAGCAGCTGTCGCAGGGGGGCTTTGTCGGTGGACATCAGCTTCCCCGAGTTCCTGCGGCCAGGGATGCCGGCCAGCCCTGGGGCCGTCATGGTGCAGCGGCGAAGGATGTCCGAGAGCACCGTGGCACAGTGCACGCTCTTCACCACCAGCGGGATGATGGCTGCCAGCTCGTTTTTGCCCAGAGAGTGGCTCAAGGCGCAGGCCCAGAGCACGTCGTTGATGGCCGGGTGCGTGTCCTGGTTGTAGGCCAGGTTGAGATGCGTCATGGCCAACGAGGCCAGTTTGAAGGCCCGGAGCGGGTAGCCCCGGTGCTCCATGTAGCGGGCAATGGTGAAGAGCTGGGTGTAGGTCATGCCGGTGGAGGCAGCGTCGATGACGATCTGGTAGGCAGTCTCGAAGGCAATGTGGTCCTTCTCGCAGAGGGTCAGGGCGGACAGGGCGCAGTTCTGGGGGTCCTTCATGGCACACTGCAGGGCCAGGGTGCGGGCGCAGCTGGCCAGCTCTTCCCGCTGTGGGTAGTCCAGGCTCAGGCGCAGGATGGTGTTGTGGGACATCACTGTGGCCGCCACGATGCTGGTGGCTTCCGTGGGAGTGAACAGGGAGTACCAGCTCTGCAGGATGCTCACCAGGGCCCTCACCCCTGCAAAAAAACACTGTGGTCACAGCACATCCCTGGAGCCTGGCTCAGTTCACAGGGCTCCTCTGAGACCTGGAGACAGGGTAAAGCCACCCCACAGCAGTGCTGAGCTGCTGCCCCTGCCCCAACAGGGACAGGGCAGAGGGGGACAGGTAGAGGCTGCCCTGTGCTGCCATGCTGCAGGGCACAGCTAGCACTGCTGACCTGGGCCACATACAGGGGACCCATCCCACTCCCAAACCCAGCCACTGCTGCATCCCCAGCCCTGCCAGCTGGTGCTCTGAGGTGCACTCAGTTACCCACAAAGAAATGGGAGACCCAGGAGAACTCAAGATACCCAGAACTACAAATGACTCTAGCATTCCCATGCCCACCCCACTCCCACCACATGCAGGCCAAATCCCCCCAGCACAGTGAGGCACTCACCCACTTCAGTAGCACATGTCACCAGCCACCTCACCATCTCCCGCCGCCGCCAGTTGAGGGTGGACAGCGTCATCCGCATCACCTGTGAGGCAAACTTGGGGTGAGCGGCTGCCCCACAGGGCTCCAGTGAGGCCACCCAACAGAGTGGTGCTCCTCAAAAATTCCTCTGGTCCAGCTGGCTACCAGCTCCCTGGTACTGCCTCACCTCCACCCAAACCACAGTGAGCACAGGGGCTTCCCAGGGCTGAGCTCCCCTGCTCAGGACCATGCAGGGATCAATTTACTCATTCCATGGGGGACACCCTGCTTGGTGGAAGACCTTCACCAGTGTTGCTGCCACAGCATGTGGGGCAGAAGGGCCAACACCATCCCCAGCACTATCCCGTACCTGGAGCCCCAGTTCCAGTGCCACATTGAGCAGCGTTGTGTCAGAGTTGCTGTCAGCTGGCGTGGCGATCTTGAATGCATCCTGAGCCAGCTTGAAGATCAAGGAGGAGGAGTGGATGTTCTTCTGGATGGCCTCCAGCACTGTGCGTAGGCGCAGCATGTCCCCTGTGTGCAGGGAAGAACAGTCAGATGGCTCAGCCTCCCTCCACCTTGCCCTTGAGCCCCATCTCCTGCCTGCACCATGTGAACAGTCCCTTCAGCTTGCCAGCCCCTCTGGACACACAAGGATGCTGGATCTGGCCCTGCAGTCCAACAGTCCAAAATGGAGCATCCTCCCTAGGAGGTGACACATCCTACAGCATCCATCCTCACTCAAGTTCATCCTCTCATGGAGACGACAAACAACCCTGAGTGATTCCAGACATGCCCTGGAGCTTAAGCAGACATCTCCAGGCACCTGGATGTTCCACTCTGTCTGCAAGTTTGACAGCTGTACAGCTGCTTCTTCCCAGGAAAGGAGGGGTTTGGGGAGATGTCCAGTACTGAACAGCTGCAGAAAGGTCAGTCTTCATTCAGGAACATTAAAAAGAAGAAGAAAAACTGTTTGCTGCACACATACTGTCTTGCCTGGTAAGTCTCTTCCCTCTGCAGGGCAGGGCTGGGGTCACACAGACTCACTGCCCCTTGCTCCTGCATGTCCCAGATCAGGCAAGCAGCTCTTGCAACCAAGGAAGGCTGAGCTACCCTCAAAGAAGGGGGTTCATGGCACAACACCCAGTGGTGCTGTGGGTCTCCTGCCATAGGGGGTCGTGGGTGCTAGAAGGATACGTGATGGCACTGGGAGATAGGGCAGGATCTTGGAAGAGGAACCCATCAAGGCACATTAATATCATGATCCTGCATCTGAGTTTGGGAAATCCTATGTGGGACACACAGGATGGGGAGAGGGAGCTTCGGGGTGTGTGCAGAGCAGAGGTGCCAGCGTGCCACATCAGGTCTTTCTGCTTTGTTCGAGCTTCATGTTTCTACTCTCAGAGTCATAGACTGAGCAGATGAACCTCATGCAAAGACAACCAGCACTTTTTCACAGCAGTGTGAAAAACCCAGCGCTGCACCTGGACACACGGAGACATCTCGGGTGACTCAGAGCTAAAGATATCGCCTGCCGCCCACCGCAGCCGCTCACACTGCCACCAAAATCCAAGCCTCCCTAAAATGGCTCATGGGGGCGCAGGCAAGAGGGGCTGCGAGGACACGGGATCACATCAGGACGTGCTGCAGCAGGGGAACACCCGAGGAAGGGGACAGTGGGAAAAACAGATGCAATCCAATGGCTCCATGCCCCTCATCCCATTAGGCACTGGAAGGGAGAAAAAAACCTAAAGGATAAGCTAGGTACCAGCTCTCCATCAGGGCACTGCAAGTCAGGGGCAGGACACCATCAGCCCTAGAAAAGCAGCCTAGAGGAGGAGGCTGGAAGGAGAGAAGAGGCTGCCAAGGCAGAGAGGCTGAAACTTTCTGACAGCTCGTTTTCCTTCTGTTGGGAAAAACCTTCCTCATCAGGCTGGCAGTACCAGGACAACAGCAGGCAGTGGTAACTGCTTGGCCCACCGACCCTCATGGGACACAAGGCATCCTTGTGGGGTTGGCTTCTGGTCAGAGGGATGTTTAATGAAAAGCCTGTGCTTGCCTTCATCATTGTGCCTGGCAGGAACTGAAGAGGCCTAAGGGACCAGTGAGGAGGTGTTTCACGAGCCCCCTGTGGCTGGGACCAAAGTGTCCCACCCAGCACGGCTGATCCCATCTTCAGCCCTGACTTGTGGTTTGGTGCACAGGGAGGTCTTCTCTCTCTAACAGCCTGTGCAGGATCATTACCACATGACAGGAAGAGACAAAGCAGAGGTCAAATGATAAGCAGCTTCAAACTAAACCATGGCATGAACCCACAACATGCCTGGCAGGGCTCACTGGCCTGGCAGCTGACTGTGCTGCAGGGTAGGCACGGTCCTGCATCACCCAAGGGCAGTACCCAGGACACACAGCACTGTGGTTGGCATCCCTGCAGGCTTGCCTGCACCTCCTGGGAAACTCCCATCCTGCCCTGCTGGAGCACAAGCCCTTTGGGACAAGAACCCCACAGACTCTGCTGGGCTGCTCCAAGGCCAGTTCACCACACCTTGCCCATAGCAGGTTGCCAGTGGGGCACCCAGCCGGTCTTTGCCAGTGCTCGAGGGAGCAGAAGCAAGAGCTCCCTCTTTTCTCCAGGAAAAACCCTTCAATGCTGTTGTGCAGCACCATCCCACCAACTCTGCCCCAGAGCTGCCCTGACACCAACCTTTGGCTGCCGTGAGCATGGTGGAGGCCAGCTCACACTGCTGTGACTCCAGGTGCCCCAGGGTGAACCAGCGTGGGTACCTGCTGGGCACCACCGACACCAGGTGGTGGGGGTGAGTCACGTCGCCGGACGGTGCTGTGGTCTCCAGGACAGGCAACCTGAAGGGCAAACAGGAGAAGGAAACATCAGACCCCAACCCCGTCCTGTCTTCACCCCCCTGTCCCTGAGGTGCTGCCAGGGCGAGGCAGGGGCTGCCTGCAGGCAGCTGCCTGCAGCGAT